ATTTAAAAATGGTCACGTTACCTAATATACATAGAGCAACATATTCTATTTATCTGTATTATGCATGATGTCTTTTTTCTAATGAAGTATATTTGATATTTTGATCTAAATTACGACTTTTAAACGACTAGATTTAAACAGACAATTAAGGAATATGTCATGTGTTTAAATGATCTACAGTCATTCCAATTTTCAATCAGACGTCTGTTCCTGTAATCCCACTGAAACTTAGTGTTTGATGACGTCACTATCGCAAACTTTGTTCCGAGCGCAAAAGAAGTTTTCATCTTTCATCTGATTTAAATGAATTTGTGTGATCATATATATAGATGAGATCTTGGACAAGCTCTTTTTGACAATTTTTCGATGAACAGTTTTGATTTAACACCATTGACTTTGACAAATTTGTTGGTAAAAATAGTTAATGATGGTTTCCCTTATTATTTTAGTGTCAAATTAAGCCACTTATTTGAATAATTGAATAATCTTGTATTCTTAACCATATTAACAAAAGATCGCTGAACTAGGTTTCTTGTTTGCATCATTTGCATTAGACGTATGAGGTATTTTGTATTGCATTATGTTACATTTGTGTTTTGAATTAGACATTTCTACATAGCAGTAGGTTTTTGCCGCTTTCCTCCGCTCTACGCGTGCTACAGACTGTACACGTTAAAGATCCCTCGATAGTTGGAAATATAAAAAACGTCTAGTTGTTCAGATGGGACAATAAACTGAGGCCCCATGTCCTTTAGGCTGTGTACGTTAGATATATCTCGACAGTTGGAAATCGAAAAAGAGCAGGTTAATGCCGCTGTCCTGGTAATAATTTCCTCGTTGTCTTTAATCATTAGCCCACATAATGCAGAAAAGTAGGACGTAAAACTCATTTCATTTTTCAAATTTTGTCATTTATATTTTAGTATGTGGGTACAAATTTCCCTCATTGTACACTGCATGGCATTGTCCATCTTAATTAGCTCAATTATAAAAGTAGGACGTAAAATTCATTTCATTTTTTAGAATGTGGATACAAATATTCAAATGTAACATCTTTGTTTCCCTATCCCTACGGAACAAGACCTGTATCTTATTCAGCGGAATGTTATGAAAACTGTGCTAACGATACCAGATGTTCCACTGCTGCCAAGGATCAGGGTACAAGATGTCAACTTTACGAAACACCAGTCATCTTCGTGTCCTTGGGTGGAAATGAAGACCAATGTATTGAAAAGTGCAACGAGATGAGTGAATGTAAAACGATTGGCATTGGAAACGAAATGAGTTTTTTCTGTTTTTTATTTAACGCCACCTTGGACAAGATTCCAAATAATATGAAAGACACTAGAGCTTTAACCGTAGCAGAAAAAATCTGCAAATAATAAAATAAACATGTTTATCATGATATAGACCTATCTCTTTTTTATTTTCGGCAATAACCTTGGGTATAATGGGGGTGAAAGCCGACTTTAGAAGCACAGGCATCAAAATTGTTCTTACCTTGAGGAGGATTCGTCTTATACATTGACTGCAATAGTCACTTTCTTGTATCACATCTTCACAGTGTCAAGCTATTACAAACTTAGATCTAATACCTTGACTGCAGTAGCAGAGGCACCAATTAGCGGCCCGACAGAAAGACTGTTAACTTCGACTGATGCCTTGACCACAATAGTCACCTTTCTTGAATCACATCTTCACAATGTCAAGCTATTACAAACCTCGTATAATACCTTGACTGCAATAGTCACCTTTACTGTATCACATCTTCACAATGTCAAGCTATTACAAACCTCGTATAATACCTTGACTGCAATAGTCACCTTTACTGTATCACAGAAAGGCTGTAAACAATGGCTGGCACAGGAGGGGTTTGGTCCGATTTTATCACCATCAGTTTAAAAAATGCCTGGTGCTATTGCTGAAAATGGTGGCAGTGTACGATAACATCGGCATCTACATGTACAAACCATATCAGAACGAGATTAATTGTTTGCACCAGTTTGTCAAAGGGACATTCCGCTTTTTTTTATAGGTCAAATTTTTTTAGCTCAAATTTGTGAAAACTATAAACCGAAATTTTCAGATATGTAGGTCAAATTGCTAAAATCAACAAGGGCAATAACTCATACTAATTATTTTGATTCTTCTGATTTTCAAATATGTTTCCTACGTATTTTTAAGGTTTCAACTAATAATATCGAGGTCAAATGTATTGAAATAGTATTGTAGATGATCAGGTCTAAATTTTCTAGAGCTGGACAGTGGTGTACTTAAGACTAGCTGGTAGTCGCTGGACCACATCCTAGCATTTGAAGCAAAATTGTTGAAGAAATTGTTCAAATAAACTTATGATTCCTATTGTTGTTATCATGACAAGGTAATCCCTTGCTTCAATACAATAAATTAATCCCCCCTCCCCCTCAAATGTCATTGGTTGCAAATTAAAGATTGACATGTCCACAGCCAATCTCATTGGTTTACATATTAAAGAAGTCTGGCTACATGCATAATACTAAGACACGTGCCTACAAGTGATAGATGATATCCAATCACTACTTGATAATCTTCCTCTGATTATCTTAAATAGGTAATCTCCCTTCTTAAGACACGTTCAATGATAAGTAATCATCGTTCTATAATATTTCACTAATCATCTCCGATTGAGAGTAACCGAGGTTGTCTACATACCCTTGAGGCAGACGTAGATAACAGAGGAAAAAGACATAAAAACGCAGCCGTAATGCATTCCATACGTCTGCATGAAGTCCAAGTGTATGGGTTTATCCTTGTTTACGATAATGAAGATAAATATTTAGCAGTCGAGACAAGCCGATGACCCGAGTGGTCGCGTCTGACCATGAGGGGGAAATTGCTCACAATATCATCAAATATGTATGTATTTCGACTTGATTAAACCGTTTTGTGAATCTTACATATGAGTTTTCATCCGGTCGAATGGTTCGTATATCCAAGAAACCGAATTTATATGGTAATTCCCTCCTGAAGACACATTCAATGATAGGTAATCATCGTCCTATAGTACATTACTGATCACCTCTGATTAAGAGGCCTTAAGAGAAAACGAAGCCTTAGTCCGCACCGGGTGGATTGGGCGTTAATTTGACCCCAGGGACTTGGAGAAACACATGAAACCTAATTTAAACTCTCTAGGATATATGCTCGTGCAGCGATACAATTCGGTTGCTTTGACGTATGCCATGCATTACGGCTGAGTTTTTTAAGTCTTTTTCCTCTGTTATCTATGTCTGCCTCAAGGGTATATAGAGAAAAATAAAAAAGGAAAATCACTTTGATGTTTAGCAGAATTTCTTTAGCATTTAGGGGGCATCGCTCTGCATATAAAAGGGGTATCACTCTGATGTATTGGATCATTACCCATGTATAGGGAGCATAACCCATGTATAGGAGGCACCACTCGTGTATAGGGGGCATCAATCTCTTGTATACAGGTCATCACTCTGGTGTTTAGAGGTCATCACTCTGGCATATAAGGACATCACTCTAGTATTTAGGGAGCATCACTCAAGGGTATAAGGGGCCCCAGTCTTGCTCTCACTCTGATATTTAGGGGCATCACTCTGTGATGTATTTGGGCATCATTCTGATATTAAGGGTGCATCACTCTAGCATTTAGGGGGAATCAGTGTGATGTATATGGGCATCACTTCAGTATTTAGGGGCATCACCGATGTATAGGGGACAGTATTCTAGCGAGGTATCACTCTTACTACAAAGAGTATTACTCTGGCATATAAGGGCATCACTTTGATTTTTAGGGCGCATCACTCTTGCTTAAAAATTGTATCACTGTGATATAGCGACATCACTCTGGCACATAAGATGCATGAACTTGATATTTAGAGGGCATCATTCTGATATTTTAGGGTAGCTCTGATGTATAGAGTGAATGTCACTCTAGCATGAAAGGGCATAACTCTGCTATTTAGGGGGCATAACACCCGCTAAGAAAGGGTATCACTGATTTATAGGGGACAGTACTTTAGCATATACGGGCTTCACTTTGATATTTACGGGCTTTGCTCAAAAAGGGTATCCCTCTGATGTCAAATAGGCATCACCCTGATATCTACAGGGCATTGATGTATATAGGGTATAACCCTGGTGTATAGAGAACAACACTCTGATGCCCAGGGCTCTCACTCTAGAATTAAGGGCGCATCACTCTGATGTGAGGGGTATCACTTTAGAATTTAGGTTGCATCACTCTGATATATTGGGCATCACTCTGTTATACAGGAGGGAATCATTCTAGCATTTAGGGGGCACCACTTGGAAGTAATCCGATTTGGCTCAAGTTGTTTTCCTACTAATTAGACACCAGGGACTTGGAAAAACACTTGAAACCTAAAAAAAAAAATGAGTGGAATTGAGTTATGAAAAAAAGGAAATTTCTTAACAAAAAGGATTATTGCATGAAAAGTGTTCAGATACAAATAAATTTGTATCTTCAAAAGTTACAAAGCTAGAAAGCTGAAATTAGACCCCAGGGAAAAGCACATGAAACCTAATAACGGACTCCATGGGTCATGACTAAAGAATAGAATCTCTATAACACGATATATCTATTAAACTAAATAATTATTGAAACTCGCTTCTACTTTACTGTAAGGTGCATCTGGGTGAAAGATGTGCTTTATAAATACATCTTGATAATAATAATAATAATAATAGTAATAATAATTCAGTTAGAGCTATGGAATCTGTAAATGACGTCATGTGCATGGTTTCATCGAACAAATGGTGGCTGTGGGTTCTAGTCTCGGTCGGCGTGTGAAAGTCTGCCACACCAAAATGATTTGGGTTTCGTTTTGCTTTGGTACTTAGTTTATCATATTCCTTATTTCCAATTGATAGTTCTAATTGCGTCTAAGTTAAGTTTTTCTACTTTATTCGCGTCGTGTAAACTGCAATTATTCCAAAGTACGTCACAATTATCATAATCATAATCATAATTGTAGAGGGTTTCAAGTGATTTTCTCGAAAGTCTGTACTTCTGAGACAATCTATTAGCTTTGAAGTTTTGGATATTAGACAATCGATGTGAGTGGTCCAGGAGCAGGTTTTATTAAAATATATCCCTAAGTGTTTATGTTCGTCATATAAAGTGGTATTATTGAAACGCAGATTGAAGGAAGGTGGTTTTACTTTCCTTGAGAAGGTTATGCATTTAGTTTTCAAAGGGTTGAACGTTACCTTCCACCTTTCAGACCATTGAAATATGGCTTCCAAATCATTATTAAGAATATCACAACTCCTCCCCTCGTCTCCAATAGTGAGATAAAGGGAGGTGTCGTCTGCGAATAATCGAATGTTTGATCTAATATCACATGTGATGTCATTAATATATATCAGAAATAATATTGGCCCGAGGACTGAGCCCTGGGGTACCCCAGCTTTAAGCACTTCTCGTTGGGATGTCTCGCCTTTAATTACTACGCTTTGTGTTCTGTCTCGAAGATAGCTTTCTAAGAGTTTCAGAAGATTTCCTCGTATGCCTATTGAACTGAGCTTATGAATAAGACCATTCAGCCAAACTCTGTTAAATGCTTTACTTATATCAAAGAAGACCATTTTGACTTCGGATCCACAGTCTAGTGATTTTGAAATATCATCATAGATGTCAATAAGTTGATATGTCGTAGAATCGTTTTGAGTAAATCCGGATTGATATTGCGATAGTATGTTGTGATCTATAACAAAATTATGGATATGTTTATGAATAACCCGCTCAAAAACTTTACCAAGCGAACTTATTAAAGATATTGGTCGATAATTAGAGCAGATACTTGGATCGTCTGTTTTGAATACTGGGACTATGTTCGCACATTTCCAGATATCGGGGAAAGTTGAGTTTTCTTGACAAAAATTAAAAAGTTTTGAAAGCGGATATGAAAGACTATTTGAGCATGTTATTGATAAGATCGGGACCGGTTGCTTTAGTTGTATCTAGAGATTCCAATATGTTTTGGACATCCCGTTGTGTGTAAAAAGGTTGGGCGATTTCAAAGTTATTACATGTAAGGGGAGGTAATTCATCGTTATCATTTTCAAGGTTAGAAAGTGATACGAAGTGCTTATTAAAAATGTCAGATTTGGTGGAATCTGAGTAGATGATATCGTCACCACATATGATTGGTGGTATATCTTTAATAGAGTTTCAAAAGTTTCCACCAGTGATGATCATTAAATTTGTTTGAATTTATCGTTTCATCAAGTTTAGCATAGTATTCTCGTTTAACTCTCCTTATCTCTGAGACTACAAAGTTTCTCTGCGCACGAAATAATTTCCAATGGTAATCATCTTTTATGTGTTTCGCAGTTTTGTGTATCCTATTTC